ATGGAGGGGTGAATCTGGCTTAGGGAGTCCCGGCGTGCGGGCGGGCGCGGAGAGCTGCGCTATAGACTTACCCCAAGAGGCCTGAGGGTAGTAGTGCAGGCTAGGAGAGTTAGCAGGTGGTGCAGGCCCAGGGAAGCAGAGAGAGGTGAGGGCGGGGCCAGGACCAGAAGGGGTGCTCCTGGAGCCCAAGAATGGGACTGAGTTTCTCTGGGTGAGAAGGATCAGGAAGCAGTATTGGTTCCCCAGGTGTCTGGGGGCCCAAGACTAGGAATGGCGCAGGGCCCACACTAGGAGTATAGAATGGCGAGGCGGGGGATGGAAGGGGGAATGTCGCTTAGGGAGTCCCGGCGTGCGGGCGGGCGCGGAGAGCTGCGCTATAGACTTACCCCAAGAGGCCTGAGGATAGTAGTCTTAAAAAGTTATTTTTAAAAAATAAAAAAATAAAAATAAAAGCAGATATTCTAACAGTTCAAGGTATACTAACTTGATAAAATCTTGAGGAATGAAAGCAGAAAATACAGTTTTTATTTTCCATGATTAAATCACTATGTTTTCTATAAACTTTGGTTATACAGTAAAAACATTGCAATTCATAGCATAGTATAGTTTGTGAAGTAAGCAGAGGGGTGTACAGTGCAAAATGAGTGTATGGTGTGCAGCCATGAATTTGACTGAGCAATGCATCACGGGAGAACACAGCCACAAAGGCCTCAGATTTATTACACATTTGATTTTGAATTAATTTTTGGTTGCCGCATGCTCATAAATCTTTTACTCTTGTCAAACTTTTCACAGCCCCCACAGTGCCTCTATACTTGAGGGATCCCAACTTAACTGTTTAAGAAGCTGTATTTTAGAAAACAAAAATCAAATCTCATTTTCCCACTTTGCCTTGCATGACGCCCAGTTCATGGCTGTTAGTTACTTTTGTTCTTTAGAGTTAATTTCAGATATCTAATTAAGAGCAAAACTAGAATTTGGAATAATTTTCTCTTCTTCTGCCTTAGTTAAATTGTGGAAGACCAGTGAAACAGGCCAGGTTTGCCCTTTGGAAGTCATAGTCATTCCCAATTTAAAATTCTCCCAGATAGAACCAGAAGAAATTGTGTGTATTTAGTGACTGCAGATTTCTTCTATAAAAATAACATTGGAATTAGAAAAATGTTAATTTTTTGAAAAACTTCCATCACTTGCAGCATAGAGTTTTGAGCCTTTTCATCTGCAAATTACAATGGAAGACTTTTTAACTCAAAATAATTGGGATTCATGATTGGTCCACTTAATGATGAAGATGCTTTAAGCGGAGAGTAAATGTATAGATGCTGTAAACACAACACACAGAGGATCGTTCACCAGTCCTGTTGATGTGAAATCCCTTCTTTGACTCTAGGTCTGATATTTATCCTCTCCTTCATATGTCACCAAGTGCTCTCTATCTCCCACAGTGTTGTGGTAGCTTCACTGTGTTCACAATATTGTATTTTTTAAAAAATGAACATAAGAACCTAAAGTTCTTGTGGAAGTAATCTGAGTATACAATCTTTCCACATTTCTGTTTGCTGACTGCCACTGTATGTCAAATTTTCCTCACTTTCCCCCACGACAATAACATATTTTAGTGACTTTTAGAGTCAATCCAAAGTATTCCATATAGATTTTATAGAAATACATTTAATTTTTAAAGCTTTTAAAAAAAGTTTCTTTTAAATATTTATTGTTTTTATTTATGTGTATATGTGTGTGGCTACATGAGTTTATGTGAAGCACCTCTGTGCAGGCGTTCATGGAGGCCAGAGGGTAGCAGAGCACCTGAAACTGGAGTTACAGGTGATTGTGAGCTGCCTGATGTGGTGCTTCGAACAGAACACAGGTCCTCTGCAAGAACATTAAGCAGTCTTAACTGCTGAGCCATCTCTCCAGCCCCTTGAAATATGTATAGTTTTATGTCACAATCATATATAATCATTTAATTTTTAAAAATTTAATGTTTAATTTCATGTTTTAAAGAATAAGAGACTGCAGAGTGTGTATCCTTGGATAGGACTCTTTATATTGAACCTCACCCATGGCTCAGGGACCAGGCTGAAGAGGTCCCTTCAGGGTGAAGAGATTGTAAAAGCCAGGGCTGGTTCATGAACACAGGGAAGCAGATGCTTTCAGGCCACTGGAAGTTTGCACATGTGAACTTTTGACAGTAGTGGCATCCAGCACAGGACCCATGTCAACTCAATTAAACAAGGGTCCAGAGGGAAGAAGAGAAATGGGTGGTGGGTCATCCCTAGACTGAGAGCCACTGAGACTGATTGATGCTGGGTGCAGGAAAGTGTGCCTTACATATAATCTCTAGATGGGCTGACCTAGACTCTGGTGGAAGAATTTACACTGAAGGACATCTGGGTACAAATGCTTGACTGGATAGGACTTAACATGTATGGCGAAATACATGAGGTCCAGTAGGGGCGTGGGGGGCATGGATGGGTGGAGAGGGTCTAAATTTGATTAAGAACTGTGGTATCAAATTACAAAAGCTCGATAATTTTTTAAAAAATCATCTTAGAACATTCTAGAGGTTAAAGTGATGAGTGTGTGGATGCTTACAGTCGGACTGTATCTTTATCTTCCCACAGCAGCTGGGTAGAATAGTTCTGAAATCATTTAATCCAGTAGTCCTCAGTCTTTGCTATTTGAGTCACCTACACAGAAAAAAATTCCATTAACAACAAACTTGCATTTTGAAATGACTTTACTCACTTGACCTAACGTTTAAATATCTCATTCTCATAGTTCCTAAGTTTATAATAGTCCATTATTTTGGAAACGTGATAAAATGACTATTTGAAAGAAAAATGATTTTGGTAACATTCCATTATAGAAATGAGCAACTGACTTAATGAAGATTTTGCCTTAGTATAATATTAGAAAATCCAACTACTTACATTCAGAACTATTTTTGATCACCTAAAAACCCCATTCAGCTAAGCAATGCTGACCCACAGATCTTTCTGAAATATTGTGAATTTCTGTTGAAATATTATGACATGCTTAAAGGAACTTCATCATCATAGAAATTAATCTATGGACCAATGGCCTATGATACAAGATATTTAGTTTGCTATTAGAAGTTAAAGTAAAATGAAATTTAAAATATGAACAATAGTGTTTTTGGTGTTTTGTGTTGAAACTGCACAATTGGATTTTAGTGGGGTTTAAATCTCACTTAGAGAATTAACATCTTTTAGAAGATTTCCTTTCTACTGGTAAATTTACCTTCACATTTTGATCTTCTCCATTTCCAGGGTTTTGAAGGTGTTTCTTTCACGAACAGCACAAAGAATTCCATACATGACTGGTGGTCGGGTGATGAGGATGCTGGCCGTGATACTCTTGGTAGTGTTTTGGTTTCTCGTTGGCTGGACTTCTTCTGTATGCCAGAACTTGGAGAGGGAGATTTTACTTGTTGGCCAGGGGCAAACATCTGATCACCTCACCTTCAACATGTGCCTCATTGACCGCTGGGATTACATGACAGCCGTTGGTATGTGGCCTCATGCTTGACGTGATCATCTTGTACTTTCTTTAAGTAGCATTAAAATTGGTTTCATAAGTAAAAACTTGCCAAATCTACTCATTATGTTTAAGAATTTTGCTTAATATGATTTTGGTAAAAACAGCGTCATGAAACTGATAATGACAATATGGAATTAAAACAAAATGACCAATCTTTTTCAAAGATATGCCACTTTATTTGAAAAATGCAACTCAGTAAACCAGATTGGAGAAATTGCCAAGAATAAAGGCAACTTCTGTGTCCTAAGAAATTTGCCTCTGTTTCATTAACAGTGGTTATCTTGATTTATGTCTTCAAATGGGTAGAAACAAGAAACACATTGGTACTTTTCTGTACAGAAGGTCTTATTATATTAATCAAACTTCTTTCTTGGTGAAGAATTGCCTGTCTAAAATTTATGATTATTTTATCTTTCCTACACTTGTCTCTAAAGAAAACTTATCAGAAGTTCTCTGGGAGTCCAACATTGAAATGTCAAAGCCATACTCCTTGAGAGAGTAAATGTTATGTGGCAGAGGAACGGGGCGACCAGAAGAACCACACCATGATGTCTGCCAAGAGCACAGATTACTCTCCTGCCCCCCATCTCAACTTTTGAAAAATAGAGAAGGAAAATCCACAGGAAAAATTTAACAATTGGCTATTTTAAACTAAGTCTCCAAAGATACAAAAAAAGTGAAGAACGGAAGAAATCCTTTATTATTTTGTTGTATTTCCCCATTCATAAGCCAAACCAATAAACCTTATTTTGACGGACAGGTGTAAAAAATAAAAACAGGAGTTCAGGTCCCATTTTCTGCCCCCTCCACATGACCAATGATTGGATGAATATTTATATCTGGATTTCTAGATTTTTTTTTTGTTAGAAACTAACAAGACATCTCTTTATTAGTTTACAATTCAAATAAAGAACTTTCTCCTAGGCAAGATATTTCAGGACACCTAAAGCCCTGCCTGATACTGTAATTATGAAACAATGTGACTATGGGACTAACATAGTGAGAATATATAAAACGTATCATATTCTGGGTAATTTAGCTTTCAGAAAATAAGTAAAATGATAAGGTAGAAAAATGTTCTAAGTTTGAATTTAGTGTCCATATGAGAATAAAGACATTGCATAATTATAAAATTCCTACTCAAAAATGTTTAAAGTTGTATTGGATGCTTTCTCAAAGTAACCAAAATGGGGAAAGTTGTTTCCTTATATTATTATGAAAAGACTGATATATTTCTGTTTTACCAAGAAAAAAAATACATAGAATATAAAAGATGCAGCAAGCAGGCAGGATGACTCCTTGTGTTTTTTTGTATTCTTTGTAGGCTAATGACATTCTAGAAGTTTATTTTGTACTCTGAAGAATATGTGTATATATATTCATAAATTGAAATATATGATTGACAATAATTGCAATCTGTTTTATAAATTTAATTGAATAGTGAAAATTAGATAGAACCAGTAAAATTCACTAAATATCTACCTATAATTTCTCTAAAGCTGTACTGAACACAGTGAATTTTGGGGAGACACAAAATCTGTAAAAGTTTTATGGCATTCATCAAGTGCTTTCTGTTAGTTAACATAACAGAAATAAGAATTGGGTCTGGAGAGATGGCTAAGCGGTTAACAGCATTGGTTGCTCTTGCAGAGGTCTAAGGTTCAATTCCCAGCACCCATGTGGCAGCTAACAACGGTCCATAACTCCTCTCCATCCCTCTTCTGACATCCACAGGCATTGCATGACTCGGGTGCACTTACACACATGCAGGCAATACATTCATATACATAAAAATAAAAATAATAAATAAAATATTAAAAAAGAAATAAGAATTGTTATAAATATTAAAGTGCAAAATAAGACAAGATCTTGGTACCATAGTTCTTCAAATTAGGAAGACAAAACAAACTTGGGCCAGATATGGTTTGAAGACTTAACAGCTGGGTAGATTAAGTCATTAGTTTACTCTTAGAAATTTGCATAATGTCCCCTGACACTATGAGAGCTAGTCTTCAGGGAGGAGGCTTCCGGGTCATTTTCAGATCAATTTCCCCAAGCCTTATGTCTGAAGTATGTTGTATCTTCAGCAATTGAGTCTTAAATTCAAGTTCTGGAAGGCAATCAAGGGCTGTGGCAATATCCTGTATAATATTGGGAATGTCGTGGATTACCCTGCCCAACAACTCAATGGGAGGTTTCTCCTGCCCCACACTGTAATTTTGTTATATAGTCATCAGATATACACATGTACTCACATTTGTATTATATGTATATTTTCCAATAGGCTTATTAAATACTATTATTTCTCTTTGTTTTTCACACCACTTAAGTATTATTTATCATGCTTTCCTCTCTCTGCCTCTGTATAGCCCTCCATCCTCCCCAGTTAAAGTACCCTCTATTTTCCCCATTTCCTATTTGATAACTCCTGTTTCCTACCATCCTTCTCTTTTGAGCTTCTTCTTCCCTTTTCTTCCTCGGTTACTTCCCATTTTCCTGGCGCCTGTGGTTATATCAGAATATATAGTCATTTCTGAGGATTTGGAGCTAGGGTCCATATATGAGAAAGGAAAAATGCTTTGCTTGTTTTTCTGAGTGTATGTTATCTCACTTAGTGTAAGTTTCTATTTCATTCCATTTACCTGCAAATTTCATGATTTTATTTTTCTTTACTGCTGAGTAGAACTTCAGAGTGTTAAATGTAACACATTTTCACCATCACTCATTGGTTCAGGAACATTTAGGTTGTTTCTAAGTCTTGTGAAAAGAGTAGAACAAACATGGATGCAGTAGGCTTTTGAGTCCTTTGGGTATAATGCCGAGGAGTGGTCTAGCTGGGTCATATGGGAGATCTATTTTTAGTTTGTCCAGACTTCTCCATACTGATTCCACAGTGACAACACCAGCTTGCAATGCCACCAGCAGTGAATAAGTATTCTCCTTACCCCAAATCCTCAATAGCATTTGCTGTCATTTGTTTTCTTAATCTTATCATTCTGTTGGGGGTAAGATGAAATCTTAAAGCATTTTTAATTTTCATTTCATTTTCATATTTACTAAAGATGTTGAACACTAAGTTATTTTTAGTCATTTTTATTTCTTCTTTTGAGAATTCCCTGTTCAGATTTCAGCTTATTTTTTTTCTTTCCACAGCATCTTGGGTACAGTTATTCCATTCTTCAGCCCTTCATATTGTTTTAAGTATTCTCTGTAGGGCTAGTTTGGTGGAAATGAATTCTTTTAGCCTATTATATATTGTTAGTCTTTTCTTTTTCCTCCAACTATGATAGTTTTGCTGGGTAAAGAAGTCTGGATTGGGGGCTGGAGAGATGACTCAGCAGTTAAGAGCACTGGCTGCTCTGGCAGTGAACCTGAGTTAGCCCCATGGCAGCTAACAACCGTGCTTAACTCCAGTCCCAGGAGAATCCTATACCCTGTCCCTACTTCCATGGGCATTGCACAACATGGATGCAGCTACATACATGCAGTCAATACACTCATACACAAAAAATAAAAATAATAAATAAAATATTTTCTTTAAAAAAAGAGGACTAGATTGGCATCTATGGTTATTCACAACTCAGAATACATTGCTCCAGATTCTTCTTGCTTTTAAAGTTTACATTGAATGTCATCCATTATTCTGATGGGTATTCCTTGCTAGGTAACTTGTTTTACTCTTGAAGCTTTCAATACCCTCTCTTTATTCTGTGTATCTAGTGTTTTTGGTATTACATGCCATGGGGAGTTTCTTTTCTGGTCCTACTTGGTGTTCTATGTGCTTCTTTTATCTGTTAAGGGTATGTCTTTCGTTAATTTGAGGAAGTTTTCTTCTATAATCCTATTGAATATCTAGTCAATGCTGTTGACTTGAGATTCTTCTCCTTCCTCTGTGCCTATAATTCTTAGATGTTTATCTTTCAATGGTTTTCCACATTTCCTGCAATACTCTATGCCAATATTTTTAAAAAATTTTTTATATTGTTTGCTTGAGTGGTCTAATTTTCCAACTTTATCAAGTCTTGATATTCTGTTTTCTATTTAATTCATTCTGCTGGTAAGCTTTCATCCATCTTTTCTAATTGGCTTATTGAGTTTTCAATTCCATCTCCACCTCAGCTTGGTGTTTTTTCAATATTTTTATCTCTTTCATGAATTTGCATTTCAAATCCTGAATTGTCTTTGTCATTCATTCAGCACTGTATTTGTATTTTTTTTTTTTGAACTTCAGTTGGGAGTTTATTCTTGTGCTCTTTATTTCCTTGTGTTGTTTGTGTGTTCTTTAAAGTCCTTCAATTCCTTGATCATGTTTGTGATTGTTCTCTGTGAAGTTCTGTGTCCTGGGGTTCCCCTGGGTAATTCTCACTACAGAATACTTCTATAGGACTGGTGGGATTTGGTGGGAACCTCTTGTCTTGATTTTTCATATCATGTGTTGTTACCTGGGCAAATAGACTTGTTGTTGTTGTTGTTGTTGTTGTTGTTGTTGTCTCTGCTGTGAAATTCTAGCCTGCCTTTGCTGAGTAAAAATTTGGCTCTGTTTTTATTACTGTCATAGCCTGGCTGATTTCTGACCAGGTATGAGCAGACAGCTGGTCTGAGCTTCAGCTTCCCAGTCTGTTCCGGTATGCTAGGTGGGCTATCACTACTAGAATGGTGAGTGTGGAGGTTGGGAAGGAGACCCTGTCTCAAAAACTAAACAAAAAATAAAATGTACCAAACTCGGGGACGTATGTGTTGGAATAATTACAAGGGAGAGCGATTTATAGCAGTGGTGCTCGAGTTCATCAGGTAGCACCTGGGGAGCTTGTTAGAAGTATGCCGATCTCCTCGCTCAGCACGGTGGACTCTGAGGTCCAGTGGTTCATGCTTAATAAGACTCCACATGAATCTGGTGTTATACCATTCATAACCATGGACTCTGAGGGTACAATCAGATGGACAACTGGACCATGGTAACTAATCTCT